AATTGCTTAGCTAGATCTCATTAAAAAGTATGTATCTGCTACCAAAACAAATTAGTAAAACTAGTATTTGAATGTCATTAAAATTCGTATTTAAAAATCATTAATAAGATGACTTAATAAGAGATTTTTGTTTTTCCTCCCAACCAATGAATACAGTTTTTAAAAAATTTTAAAAGTATGTATGAAACCTGAGAAACTCAATAGCATTATCAGTGACCTACAGCTATGAACATTCATTGTATTAGTTGCATATAAATAGCTTCTTTCATCTTTTAAAACCGAAAATATATTCCAAAATATTACTTGGATGTTGTCAAATTTATGCAGTTGGCTCATGATTCATAACCATATCATGTTGAACTAAACTAATGAATAAACCATTATTTCAGCTGTATCTATAATACAATCCTGTTTTATAAGACACTTTTAATCGAAGCCTTATTCTAGGATCTTAACATCGGTATACAGATCAGGACATTGAGCTTTACGGAGGGAGATACTAAAAGATAAAAGTGGCAAGAAAGAAGGTTCACAATGCATTTCAAATAGTCCTGCCTGTGAACAACTTCAAATCCCCCCTGTAGACAGACAAGCACACTCAAAACGTTGTCAACCTGGAGGGGAGGTGGGGAAGGCTCTTACCGTAGAGAGTTCATCGCATCCTAGCAACTTGTAGTAATCTTCCAAGTCATCCGGTCTGCAGCTCAGAATTGCGTCCATCTGGACTAGTCTAGCAGGCTTTTTCAAGCCGAGGCACAGGGGATGTAAAATACAGTAGCAACACAAAGCTCACACAAGGGTTTAAAAGTAGCCCAGGGAAACAGGCAATTTCCACTCCTGTCTACAGCTCTCTCCAGTGCTTTTTAATACGGGCAGCTGACACACATGAATTTTCTTGAATTCTCTGCCTGCCATTGGTCCCTGCAGGGTGCCAATCCGGTTGAACAACCCTGCTAATGGCAATGCTCCCTGGGATTTGTAGTTGCCAAAGTCACTTCAACATTAAACTGTGGGTCTCATCCAGACTGGAAAGAGTTCTGCATACTAACTGAAATCTAGCTGAATTTGAGATTTAGATCACGCCATCATATGTATAAGCCACTTAAAATCAGGTATGTATTTAAAGGCTTTCCTGCACCTGAGCCTACATATACTAAAATATATTTTCTGCTTAATTTTTAATTGCAACTTTTGCCACAGTCTTTGACAAGGGGGTTACATGGGTGGTTATAGAAGAGAGTAAGGATTACTTCCAAAATAACAATTACAGGGCTGCAAACTTTCGAGAATGAAGTACCAACCCTGCCAAAGCCTCTCAGAGTTCTGTCAGTCACTTCAACAGAAAGGGGTGAATCTTTACTCTTTGAAGGCTACCTATACATACTGCTGTTCAAAAACAAACAGCTCTTGTACATCAGTTACATGTCTGACAAAATTAAGACTATGAAAAGACAACATTAAATACTTACTGTCTCAAATTAAATAGAGACTCTTTCTCATGCTAAATTACTTTCAAATTGTATCTTGAAGGTCTGTATCGCGTGCAAAACGCGCTCCCTGTAAAACTCATTTTACATTGAAGTGAAATACCTTTAATTTTGAACTGTGGTTAATGATCAAGGCCTCAGTCCAACAAAGACTACAGACATGTTTAACTGTAGCGTCTCCTATAATCTATTGATTTAAAAAGATTACTTCCCAGGTGTAACACTAACCTCTTGCTGAAGTCTTTCCTCTGGAGCCTAAGGAGCTCTATTTTTACCTTTCCCATCCCTGCAAGAGCTTTGTAATCCAAGCTGTTTCATGTCATTAAATATTGCTGATTCTTTAAACTAACACTTACAAATAGATGCCTTGAATAGTTATGCCATTTTAGATGCAGTGACCTAGGAGGAGAGTCTACACAGAACAGATACACAGGGTGTGACCAAGGCTAGAAGAGGTGTGTTCATCAGTGAAGGACCTAGTGGCCATTCCGAACTGTTTATAAAACACTGAATATATAATTCCCACATTTACAAGTGCTTTATTTTATTATCTATATTATTAATCTTCTGAAATTATCTACATATAATATTAGTCTTCCACTGCTTTCTCTTCAAGGTTGTATCGTCTGATATTTCCTATTTTTACTGTATGTTCAGATAGCCTATTAAGATTATAAAATATATAGAATACATGAAAAGAAGCAATAATATTAAACAGCAAAGCACAAGCCTCAGTGAAACCATTTAAATCTGTTAGAAAACACTACTACCATATTTCTCTGAGTAAATAAACCGATACACTTTTTCAACAAAGTGGAAGAATTAGCAACTACAGATCTCTCCCTCTCCCCCATTTATAACTTAATAATAAACCAGAAAAGTATAGGAAAGAAAAGAAAGCCTTTTAGCAAGAGATCATGTAAATATTTAAATAGATTGTACTTTGGGGGAGGACAAAAAACAAACAGCTGTCCCTCTTCCCAACAGCACTCCTGACTTACTGTTCTTGTCCAAGTATTTCTTGCATATTTGCGTAAGGTGAAAGGGAAGGCTCTTTAACCCTTTTTCCCTCCAGCTTTCAGTGGCTATTTCTGTGCTGCAGGGTGAACTGCACATCCAAGAGCTGGATTCAGATAACAAAACCCTGAGACTTGCAAGCTGCCTGTTCACAGGGAATTTGCTCACTGAAGCCTTGGTCCCGTCTATACTCATCTGTTCAGACCAAACAAACGAGAGCTTTGATCCAAACCACAGCAGCAACCACACTTGTGCCCACACACACCCCCCCCCCCCCAAGATTTCCAGTGCTTGGGGCACAAAGAGTCCCATAGCACACTCTGAAGGTTTGCGTGTGGAGGACACAAAATACTGATACTGAATAATAACTCAGTCTTTTACCTCTTCTACTGACTTCAGTGGGACAACTCACAGAGCAAAGCATCATCAAAAAAAGGAGAGCGAGAGAACCTGTATATAATAAGCAGAAAAAAATATAAAGATTGCCTTCAGGACATAAACTTTATTTGAAAGAGGATCACAGCGCAGGAGATAGCGCAGCTGATGTGTTGGTTAGTGTTGCTCAGAACGTACACACAGTACTGAAAGTAAGGAAATCTTCTATATGTTCTCTGTACCCAACCACGAACAAAACGTTTCTATTCATTCCCAACACATTATTGCCAGTTTTGCTTGTTTAGAGCCAAGAGTGAAACTAAATTCTGGTTCAGCATAACAGGAGGTTTACCATCAACTTGTAAAAGTCATAAACAGCCCTTTAAATAAAGCAAGATCTGGAAATCTCTATTTGAATGTATTCCCATAAAATACATCAAATCTTCCAGTACCAGTTCTTCTCAACTGACTTCAGTTGGTTTGCTTCCTGAGGGCAGAGTACACGTTTTCAAGAAGTTCAAGGCACAACATAACTAAAATGAGTTTTGCTTTTCATGCTCCATCCTTGTCCCCACACATGCTCAGAGTTGCAGAAATAGAAGAGGACCTAAGCACTCCCAAACTGCCTTCCCGATTTAGGGGTAACTACTGCAACAACATCATAAATATGTATGAATGCTTGCAATATTAGAGTCAGTTTTAGGATCCTCGAATCATTTCCTCACCAATACCTTTGCAGAAAGCTTTAGATCATACACCTATATCACGTACACATTTTCTTCCTTAGAACGCAGTCTTCACATAAATAAGCACCAAAACAACAATATTGTCACACATCTCCTTTATATGCTGAAAAAAGCATCTTGCACGTGCTTTTTAAGAAATCTGAATCTTGCCTCAGCTTCAATAAGGAAAAAGAATGCTTGCATACAAATTCACACAGAATAATAAAAACGTTCCAATTCACATCTGGTTACTCCGTAGCTTGTTTTTGAAAAATAGGTAGTGTGAGAAATGGCATGTACATCTTTTTTGGGGTTGTTAATACCCAAAAGAACCAGAAAAAAAAACAATTCCCCCCCTACAGCTACATATACTACCTATGAAGTCAGTTATCTAGAAAATAATCCCTTTTGAAGCTAAAAACCACACATCAACAATTTTAACTCGAACTTTTTAAAAAGCTGTTGTTAACGAGGCCTGCAACAGAGAAATTCTACCTGTCTAATCTTGGTCTTGCCACTGAACTTAGGGATTCAATTGTATTAAATTCACTAAAACTATTCTGCAAATACTTTGTGATAATGTTAAGCAGTAACGTTAAACAAAACAGTATTTAAATTTATATCCATGAAGTTTAGATCAAAATTCTATGTTGGTAGACGTCCCGGGAAAGTGGCCGCGTTCTGTGCAGACAAGACTTCCAGGTAGAAAGAGACACTATATCTAAGAAAGCCCATGTGTGGTTACCGCCATATTTACTATACAGTGTTGGTCCACAATTCAGCATCGAGGTTGGCCGCTAAGGGTTGTCTCTACAATTTACATAACGGAAGAGATCACTGGAAAACCACAGGTCACCACAGCTACTAGCTGTGCACATCCCACCGGGGAACACTGATGTGAAAAAGAATGAATTCATGAATGTCATTATAGCAAATCCCAACTCTTGCACTTTACCATCCGGTCTCCTGTACGCTACGCAGGCTCCGTTCTTAAAACAGCCGTTGTTCAGATGGGTGCTGAACACCCACGCCCCCCCCCAAAAACAACTTTCCGTAGCTCAGGAGTTCAAGTACCATGGTAATACATTTAAGCATCCCTACCAAAAGCTCAACCTGCAGGTGCAAAACCTTTCCCAGGCAGCCAGCAGGCACGCCAATGTCCCCGGCAGAAGCTGTAATCCTGTAAATATTTCTCTTCTTACCCTCAGCTCTGTTCCGTGTTTACAGAAAACGGAGAGCCGCTTACGAACCTCTCGGTAACGCTGCCTGACTGGCAAACGAGCTCACAAGGGAGACTCGTACGAGTTTTCTCTGGTGGGTTTCGCCTCACCAGGTGCTGTACAGCTACATGGCAGCCCAACAAGGTGCGTTTGCAACGTGAAGCCTGTGCCAGGAAACGCCGTTTGTTCCTCGGGAAGGTGCATTCTCTATCTGATATTCTGAATACCATTACGGAGAGGCCCGAGGGTTTCTCA